CCATGAAATGATGAAATCATCCCAACTTTCTATCTCCAACTTCATTGAGAGCTTAAAATGTCAAATCACCCTCATTCTGTCTCATAAACCGCCGGTAAAAAGCTCTAGCTGCAAAAAAAACCCACGAATATCTCATCAGATAACACCATGTATTGGTTTTCCATCGCGTTAAAATGTGTAACCAACACATTCCCCCTTACTGAAATCAGCCATTTTCATGTTGCATGATGGCGGGCAAACCCATCGTGAGCTTTATGGGTGCTGTTCCATCACACACCCGCGAGGAGCTTTAGCTTATCTCAATGTAGCAACATATCTATGACTTCCGTCTGCAACGGTTGATCATTCATCCACCTTCCACTCCTGCGTCCCTTGTCACCCCATTGGGGCTTTGTGCACCCTTTAGACCTTATCTCAATGAGTCATCGAGATTCCGCAGCCCCATTATAGACGTTTTTAATTACGCGAATCGTTCAACTCTGCTTGGGAAATTAATTCCTGGTTAAAAGTTGTTTAATAGCTGACAGTGAATTTCTGGGGGTGAATGGGATGAGTCGTGAATCTTTAAGCTCCGATTTATTGTCCTATCAATCCTGTCACACTTGCGTACATCAACCTCTTGGATGCATTCGTGTCTCGTTCTCCTCATACGGAGGCAGTCGGGTGAAAGCTTGGGGGAGGGGGTGGAGCGGTAGGGTGAGATTAAGGGGTAGGGGGTGAAAATTATTGGCGGGGTTATTGTGGTCGCTTTAAGGATGGGTTGTTCAGGGGATGTTTAATCGGCTGGGACGACGATAACACTTAGCAGTGGAAATTAATAGGTGGAATGCTAGCTTTAAAAGCTCTGATGAGTTAGTAGAAATGACGGAGTTTGGCCAGACAATGTTGAAAGTCCGGGGAATTAAAGGGCTCCAGTTTTCGATAGTCATTTTAGATCGAAGACTCAGGGTCATGAGGGCGAAAAGAGTCAACAATGATTTTTATCACGATTTCAATCATGATTTCATCCGCATGTGGAACATAGCATTCAGATTTTCTCCTTCTGTCAGTGCAAAATGTCTCTTGTCGGTTGAGAAGAACTGGAGGAAGTCAATTTTCTGGAATTAGGTGTAGAATAACGTGGAAAGTAATGGCTGGAATGCTGGCTCTAAAAGCTCTGATGAGTTAGTAGAAATGTCGGAGTTTGGTCGGACAATGTTGATAGTGAGGGAAATTGAAGGGCTGAAGTTTTTGATAGTCGGTTTACATTGCAGACTCAGAGGCATGAGGACCAAAAGAGTCATCAATGATTTTTATCACGATTTCAATCATGATTTCATTCGCATGTGGAACATGGCGTTGAGTTTTTCTACTTCTGTCAGTGCGAAATGTCTTGGCTGTGGAAAAGACTCCAGAGAGTCAATTTTCCGGAATAAGGTGAAAAGTGTCAAGGTGGTTAACACCTTGAAGCATGTACCGCCAAGAAAAATAGCACCATCTTGTGTATGTGGGAAGAGACTCTCTCTTAACTCAACTTTGGTTCTCATGGAGTGATGTCATTCTCCTGGGAGTGTTTCACTGTCGACCAGAAGTCTACCGAGCGTACCACGGATCGTTGACTTTTCCCTGTGGACTCAACCGAGTGACGAACCGCTACCACATACTTTGTCAAGAATCAACGGTTCATATTTTTTTTTTGAGGTTATGTCAGAAGGCTGAATTTTTTCGAAAAAAAAAAAATATTCTGCAAAGAAATTACTGAGAATCAGTGAAAGTTGGGGTGAATTGGGACGGGTCAGTGTGACTCGTGTCATCGGACCCTCGTGACCCTCGACACTTATAACTCCTATAACCTCTCTGCTGATACAATTTGTACCATCTCCATCGAAAAATAAAAGGTATAAACCAAGAAAAACAGAGTTATCACAATTTTTATTTCTCCTTCCACCCGTTCTAATAACACAAGTGAACCTCACTTGCCTCAAGTGTCCAATGGACATGAGAAAATAAAAATGGGGAAGCACTTGGCTATCGGATCTCACTCCACTGAAATGAAAACAAATCATTCGAAGATGGGGATAACACCGGAGGTGTGGAAGAATGAAAAAACATAAACCAACGTATCCCGCTACCTGTGAGAGTCAGAAGGGAGGGGGGCGACGGTGGGGAGGTGGAGGGAAAGGTGGGGAGAAAAAGCGGAGAGTATGGAGGAGCTTGAGGTATACACTGGAAACAACCCCTGGGGAACCGGCAGCTCGTTACGTGAGACGTGCAATTTTTTTTTCTTCTCATCCTCGTTCTTTTTTTTTCAACCCTCTCTCTCTTTTTCGAGCACACGAGAAGGGGTCTCTGAATAATGTCTCGTATGTATGTACACTGTGCTCAGTAACAAGTGGGTATTATACGGTCTCACGTGACGCACCAAACTGAAGAAGTTGGAACGCCAGGGGCGATAATTTTTTTTTACGGTCTTTCAGAGTTTGCGAAGTTTTTGAGTTTTTCTCCTGTAAAAAATGGGACAATTTTTTTTTTTCATCATTTGTTTCTGTTCTCATGAAGAACATCATAAAGTTGGGGGGGGGGGGGGGGAATGGGGG